CAGTGTCGCGGCGGGGGAAGCGCGACGGCCTCGCGGCAGGGGAAGCGCGACGGCCTCGCGGCAGGGGAAGCGCGACAGTGTCGCGGCAGGGGAAGCACGACAGTGTCGCGGCAGGGGAAGCGCGATGACGTCGCGGCAGGTGAAGCGTGACGGTGTCCCAGTGACAGTAGACGATACTTCAAAAAAATTTATAATAAAAATATAGGGTAGGTCAACTGTGGGGTAGGTCAACCTTTTTTGTTAATATTTATAACACTATTATTTATAGTCCCATATTTTTATTCAAATATTTATATTTATATTTTTATTAATAAATATATTGGTACGTCAACTGTGAGGTAGGTCTAATGAGCAGCCCCGCTCGAAATCTGGGATGTGTGGCAGTATCGCCTCGGTAACCTGGGGCAGATTCGGGCGGCCTATGCGTGCCATCTCAATCTCCACTCTTTCAGCCTCTTATCGGCAGAGGCTTGACCAACCAGTTTGAAAGCACTCGCAAAGATGTTCAAAACGCGACTTCGATCTCCTGAAGGTAGCGGCTTCTTTTGCTTTTCGGCGACAAACCCCCAGCTAGAAGTCCGCAATTGTTCTGTCACCCTCGACTATGGCGCCACTGCGTGCCTCCTATCAACAGCGAAAACATGGCGCGCCTTTTAGGATTTGTTCCCCTTTGAGGCGATAGACAGGCGACAGGCGTATAGCGCGTGCTTCAGGCTTCCACGCGTGTCAGGCCCGTCAGGCCCGTCAGGCCACCAACGTGGAACGGAACGAAACGTTCCGGCAGTGGCGATAAGGTCTGTCTCTCTCGCACTCATGGGGCGTTCCCTATGGGTGCGAGAGAGACAGAGCGGCGAAACCGACTCTCGGTCGGCTGAAGCGCGAGGCAGAGGCGTAGTACACGTTTCCATTTCCACGAACCGCGGGGCCGAAAGTTAGAGTTAGCGGGAAAGGAGAGAAAAAAAGGGGGAGGCTGCAACCTTTGCTGTTTTTGGTTCGTTTCGACCCAGCTGCCATTTCCCACACCATCAGTAAAAACAACACATTAAACCAACAACTGCTACAAAGAAAAGTTGAGTCAGTCGTAGGCAGGAGTCGGCAGGAGTGTGTGAGAGAGAGACATCGAGAGGGCG